GGTCGGTCAGCGAGTCAGTAAATCGTTTGTGCGCCCTCAATATTTACCTGTCAGCAGAAAGCAATTTGAAACCATCGAAGTCAATATAAAGCGAGACACAGGGGAATCTGTGCCATTTGAGTTTGGAAGAGTGTTGTTAACACTTCATTTTCGTCAGAGTCAACCTCAGTACTTTTAAAAATGAAAAAACTCCACGCCCCAAATCATAAGTTTTACGAACAGTACTATGTAGATCAAGCCAAGCAAAAAGGTGGAAATTTACCCGCATTTCACGGAGCTCGATTTCAGCGAGGTTATGGCTTAGGATCCATATTTAAAGGTCTGTTCCGCTGGGCGATACCTCACCTGCAACAAGGTGCTAAGGTGATTGGAAAAAAAGCTTTACTAACGGGTGTCAATGTTGCCCAAGATGTGCTTGGCGGAGATAACATTAAAACAGCAATCAGCAAACAGGCTAAACAAGCTATAGGTAACATGACGTCCCAGAAGTCACAGCAAGGACAGTCAGGTGCAGGCAAAAAAGCTATAAAAAGGAAAGCGCAAGGCTCAACAATCAGTTCGCCTCCAGGAAAGAAAGCAAAAACATCTCCACAGCAGAAGAAATCGAAAACCATTTTTGATAAAGAATAGAATGGCCTTCGTTCATCACGAGTCTCGCGAGTGTACTAAATCAGAGCTGGATCTTTTTACTATTCCTGCTACACAAACCTCTATTCACAAAGGGCAATGGATTGAATATCATCCTCTCAGCAACATCACGGACACTGGTCCTATTGAATTTAACGTATCTGGAACCGGAGAAGAATATTTAGATTTAGCGCGGACACAACTTTATGTGAAAGCTAAGATCACGAAAGCAAACGGAACCGCGTTAGATGCCGATACACAAGTGGGTCCCGTAAACCTGTTTTTACATTCCCTGTTTTCACAAGTAGACGTTTCCTTGAATGAGCGACTTATATCTGCATCCACTAATACTTACCCTTATCGCGCCATGCTCGAGTCTTTGCTGAACTACGGAGAAGAAGCTAAAACAAGTCAACTTTCTATGGCCATGTTTTACAAAGATACTTCTGGAAAGATGAATGTAGTGAACCCCTTGGCTGCAGACGATGAAGCAAACCTTGGATTAAAGGCTCGCTATGAGTTTACCAGAGAGAGTCATACGGTGGATATGATGGGACCCATTCACAGTGATATATTCTTTCAAGACCGGTTGATGCTCAATACAGTTAATTTAAGAATCAAACTGAACCGAGCCAAGAATGTGTTTTGTCTTGTGTCCTCAGCAGCCGGAGCTAATTTCAAAGTGGTTATCACAGAAGCCATCTTGTTTGTACGCAGAGTCAAGGTTGCCTCTTCTATCATTCTAGGCCATGCAGCTGGGCTAAAACACTCCAGCGCCAGGTACCCCATTCGTAGAATCGACTGTAAAGTGCTCTCTATTCCAAGAGGATTTAGCAGTTTTAACCCTGACAACATCTTTTTGGGTCAAATTCCCAAGCGCATAGTATTGGGATTAGTGGACACAGAGGCTTACAATGGGAGTTACCGTACCAACCCCTTCAACTTCAATCACCACAATTTAACTCAAGTGGGTGTGTACGTGGACGGAGAACAAATCCCCCGAAAACCTTTGTTCCTGAAGTTTGACGCCGCTGGTGGTCAAAATGTGATAGCCGGCTATCAAAGTCTTTTCTCTGGTATTGGAAAGCTTTCCCAAGATATGGGCAATCAGATAAATAGAAGTGATTACGGCTCCGGTTATACCTTATTCGCATTTGATTTGACCCCAGATCACTGCCCGGGAGATCATTTTGAGCTCATAAAACAAGGAAACCTGCGCTTGGAGCTTCATTTCTCGGAAGCACTCGCCAACACGGTCAACCTTATCGTCTACGCTGAATTTCAAAACGTGATTGAGGTCGACGCAAACCGAAACGTTCTCTACGACTACACAAACTAGAAATGGACACCATTCAACTGACCCTTATTTTGAGAAAGGATAAATTTACACGAGGTGTGTTTCAAGGCGTGTATCCCTCAGACAAGCTGCCTGCGAGTGTTTCGCAATACCCAGCCCTATTCATCGCCAATGTGGATACGAGTGACAAGCCAGGTTCGCATTGGGTGGCGTTTTATTTCGCCAAGGAGCAAGAGGGAGAATTTTTCGATTCTTACGGAGCACCTCCCAGCAAATATTCAGGAACATTTACTACCTTTTTAAACAACAATTCTAACCAGTGGATTTTTAATACTGTGACATTACAGAGCATCTATTCCAAAGTCTGCGGACATTACTGTTTGTATTTTGCTTTATATCGTAGTCGGCAAATAAGTATGAGTACAATTGTGCATCGTTTTTCTAATAACACACGTAAAAATGATAGTCTTGTCAAGCGATTTATTGAAAAACATTTTCCTATAAGTCTTCCGAAATATCGCACTGATGTAAACAAGCAAAGAGCACAAGCCCAGCACAAAGTTCAATAAATAAAAACCTTGTAATTTCTTTTCAACATCTTTTATTGAGTGAACAAAATAAAGAGATGATTTACAATAATAATAATAATAATAATGTGTCTTGTGGTGATTTTATAACCGTAACCAGCGCACAGCCTCAGGGCGTGGACTCGCATTTCTTCGCCGCTGTTTTTTCACTGGGGATACCGTCACAGGTGGGCTAGGTAGCCAACGGGAAGGACTGTTAGGGGTTTCGTCTCTCACTCTTGCTTTAAATTCTCGAACAGCACTTTGCCTCTGTGGATTACGCACTAGATTTTCCGGGACATTCATTCGGGCCAGACCCCTCGCAAACACCGACCATCCTACTGGTTCAAATCCTTTGCGGTGGCGCAATGTGTCGTTGACTAGGTCCACCAGATGAGAACCTGGAATGGGTTTGGTTTCATACAAAAGCTCTCCTTTATCATTCCAATACAATACATCTTGATGCTCTTTAATTTTATCCAACAATTGTCTAGCCCCGGCTTTGTAAATTTTGGGTACACTTTTCATGACCTCTGCCTCTACGGATGATGAAGTGAATTTTTCCGGGACAGGTTCTTCCGAAGGTTGTTCATTTTCTTCTGGTTTAGGTGTTTCTACTGCTTTGGGGGTTGATATTTTCACATGAAGAGGTTGACCTTTTCGCTGATCGTAATAAGTCAAGTACCGCTGCAACACTTGATTGTAAAGCCTAGCTTTTTGTTCATCATCAAGTTCTTTACTGGATAAAATATCGGTCATTTCACTATCCAAGTTTCTCAGAGTTTGTGTGACGGGTGGGGTTAAAATCTGCTGGCGCTGCTGTAATCTTTCCAAGGTGTTCTCGGGCACGAGAACCATACGCTTTGTGTGATTCATTTTAGGTAAGAATCGAACTCAACACACGGAGAACGGGAGGTAGCAAAACACTTAAAAAATTTCCTCCGTGTTGTACCAACAATTTCTTTTTCTTATCGAGTGGTGTACTTTTTTCGGCTAAAGCGATCAAAGATTTCTTGTGAGGTAAAAGTTTTTTCTTGGCTGGCTTACTGACAGGCACTGTTCCTTTAAGCACGTTTAAAACACACTCACAAATGGTTCTTACTAAAGCGTCGTCTGCCACCTTCAAAATGGCTTTACGCTGAGCTGGTGTACACTTGACAAGCAGTTTCAGAAAATCGTGGTTCTTTCTAAGTCGCTGTGCCATCCTCAACTGAAGAAATGTGATGTGGTTCACGCTTTTTATACTTTTCTGACGTAAGCGTACTGAGTCTCCCCGGGGAAAATATTCGTACGCAGCCGGAAGTCGGTAGGTGTTTCCGGTTTAAGATCACAAAATAGATATCCATAGGGCCTTTTTGTTGCATCCTCAAACGCTTCTTGCATGTATTTGACATGACCGGGAAACATTTGTCTTGCTAAATGATTGACTTGACTGCTATCACGCGGGCGTTTGAACACTACTAAGTAATGAGAATTCAAACTCATATCTCTCAGTTCTTTTCCACGATGAAAAATGTTTTGGAGAATAAAGATCACGCTGAGATTGCGATGGTGACAGCCCTTGGTAAACAAATTAGTCATTCGCTGATCATTGCTAAGCTCGTGCATTAAGTCATCAATGACGACTAAATTCCGCATAGAGGGAGTAATTAGGGTTTCCAGATCACCAAGCACTCCATCAACAAACATAATGTTCGGAATAGTTTTAAGCATCTCATCGTAGGCTGGTTGATACATGCTATAACACCAGATGATATTTTCGGGGTACCATCAATCATGTCTTCTCCTGCTTCTAGTAAACGTTTTACAAACTGACTTTTCCCACAACATGTTGGGCCGGCCACAAGCGCGGGGAAAGGATGTTTCCATCTTGGGTCCATGATCACAACTGATTAACTGATTTGTGCGTACTCTCATTTATAGAAAAAAAAATTGTTTTGGGTTCACCCTCCTTGTCATACACACGAATCGCATTGGTATTTTGTAATTTTGCAAATTGAAGCCAATATTTTCGTTCTATTTCCGATAACTCGTGGACTTGAGTTAAATGATTTGCTAATCGAACTAAGAATTTAGAACGACATCCCGGTATGGGGCAATGTTTACATTTTAGTTTCTTCATGCTGACAGGACGAATGTTAGATACCAACTGAGTAAAACTATTTGCGACACGAAATTTATTGTTGATTTTCAAGGACAGATCGGGCAGAAAGGGCAGAAAGGGCATCTTTTTAGCCCTGTGTTTTTTCCCCTGGGCGCGCGTGGAGATCTCGCGTGTAAGTCGTGCGCGTCGAGTCAGGAAACAAGCCACGATTAAATTCAACCAATGATTTATTTACAAACTAATTTGCTATGTACAAACACCCGTGAAAAGCTACGCAAATATACTATTTACAATTAGAAGCAATCTTATGTAAATATTTCTGAAAACTATTTTTGAGAGTAATATAATACAAACTTGAGAAAACGAAAATTATTTACAAAATCCATTTTTTACAAACTTGAACACTTTAAATGTCAAGTGGAGTGGTGTTAACTCCATCAGCCAAAACTTTACGTTTCGGGTAAAAATACGAAAAGGCATCTCTGACCTGGGTATAAGTGTATATAGTATTATTTACAACTCTGAACCCTCGATTCACCCCAGAACTATTTTGTTTTGTAAGTAAGACATTAAGGTATTTATCTTTGTTAATGTCATTGCATTTCTTATTGACTCCTTTGCAAGAAAACTTATCTTTGGCCCCAAAACAGTAGTAGGTTTTTGAACACAACCCGATAATTCCTTGTCCCTCCCACTCAACCTTAAAAAGACCCGGGGTTCGCTTATCATAGGCTTTATGCTCGGGTGTATCCGTACGGGGAAACCAGTTGCATTTATCGGCTTCGAACTCTGCTTTCAATTCTGGTTTGACTAAACTTTCCACACTCTCCCCAGCAATAGCGATATACGCTGAATCCGTATCCATTTCACACATTTGAAAATCGCTGCGATCGAGATACTTGTCTAGAAAATCATAATAAAACTGCAGCATGGGTAACTTAGCATACTGATACACAAAAAACCCGACTTGAATAGGTAAGTTTAACTTAATAGTTTTCTTACAAGACTCTACTTCATAAGTATCTTCTGTGATATTATCCAGTTTCCAGAACAGTGGGGTGTTGACTTTTCGGCTGGCCTCTGCGTCACTGCAATACTCCACGTTTCTGTGTTTCAGTTGGTTAGTGATCGTCTTACCATAGCCTGAATTACCCACCTGAGAGATAAACAAAGATATAAGTTTTTTCTATTCGTGAAAATGTATATTGTTCCCACCCCTTTATGAATGAAAGAATGAAACAAAAACTTACCAGTTTCATGGTATCTGCAATGATGGCTTTACTGGGGTCCGCATCTCCGGCTCTCCTCGCGTCTGACACCGCATCCCCAAACGGTTTGAAGCAGGGTTGAGGGGTGAACTCGATCACTTGGTGCACTTTCGTGACCTCTAAACCATGTTCCAGGTACCACTTGAGGAGGGGTGTGGCCAGCAGGATCTTTTCTCCTTTCATGCTCCCAATCAAACTGCGACGGGGTTGAGCCATGATGTTGTGCTCCTCGGCGTACGCTTTCATAAATTCACCAATATCATCGCGGCTGATTTCTGTGTTCTTGAAGATCGGGCACATTTCACTAAACTTTTCCTTTAAGTGATCTGGTACACGAATATCTACTTCCACGCACCCGAACAAACGCTCATGTCGCACCTCGCTCAATATTCGCTCGGGACTCATGATCTTGACTTGATCCAGGGTTCTTCTCACTTCGGTGGCAATAAAACGCCGTAGTTCTCGGTTGGTTCTCTTCATTTCTCTCCACTGACATTCATACATTTCCACCACGTTGTACCCTTTGCTGCGGATATACTCCGTGTTGGCTCTCGTTTCTTCTCTGATCTCAGCCATAGGTTTCTTGCGTTTCTCGTTAAACTCTTTCCCTCGGTTGAGAGCACAGTCATGACCGTGCCAATAACAGCCGTGAAACTGGTACGCAGTTTGCGTCTGTGCGTTGAAACCATCTACAGGCAGTTTACGACCACCGATGCGCTTTTCTGTATTGTTTAACTGATGTCGGATGTGAATTCCCTCTTTGTGCGCCACCCATTCCAACCATTCAATAGCCATGCGTACAGAACTTTTCGGTTTGAACTCATTGTCCGCCAGGCGTCTCGTATAACTTCCCGTGGGCATATCTTGCATGAGCGCCCAGAGGTACAAAGCGTTCGCGTCATACCCCACGATCTTCTCACACAGCTTAGCAGCCTCGCCTTCCTCTGCTTCTCTGATCTTTGTTTTGCCGGCTTCATGATATCGGTGGAAAATAATACTTGGGCCGCCCGTGTTGTTGTCTTTGATCAGATGGTAGAGATCACTGTTCGCTTGATCGAAGAGACTGAAGTAAGTTTGAGGTGAAAGATAAGAGAAGAGGTACTTGAGGGTTAAACCAGGGACAGAAATGCCATCTTTAAACATATCGATCTTTCTCTCCTGCCAGAACTGACTCATTTTCTCTACAGCCTCGAGGAAAGGAACGACATCCAAATTATTGTACCAGATCAAGAACTCTTGAAAGGTGGACATTTCATTTTCTTCCCATACTTGCTGGCAGTACTCATATTCTTCTTCTGTAATGTTTTGGTTCTTCAGACTTGAGTAGAAAGCTTCATGCGAGGGCAGAGATGTTTCTTCGAGCTTGTCCAGGCTGTCGATCCACTCGTAAGGGAAGAAACCTTTGGTTTGCTCGCATTCATACGCTCTTAGAAACTGGTCATAGCTGAAACCCGGCGCGACATAGTTCGAAATGTCCAGAAATTTTAAGGAGTTTGTCTTGAGACACATATGGTTGCTGTTTCTTTTGACAGTGAACTTGATGGGTTGAGACTCAATGAGGTAGGGAAATACAAATTCTTTCACAGCGTTGAGATCGTACTTGCCAGAGTTGAAGCCTAGCACGGGCAGTTCTTGTAAGTATGCGTTCAGTTTTTCAGCTAGCTTTGTTAAGACTTTGTTGTCGCTAGTCTGCTCTTGACCAAACAACACATCTTCGTACTGGGCTAGCTCATCTCGCTGTTGTCTCCTCTCTTGTCTCCTCTCAGTATCCAACTCAACGTTCAGTCTTCTGTAAGAGGAAGAGTCGTTTTCTGTTACCTCATCATTGAGAAACGCGCGATCTTCCTCATTCTCCGGTTCGATTTCTTCCTCGTCGTCATCGTCATCACTTTCCATCAAATCGATATCTCTTTCGTTGTCACTTAATTCTTCATCATTATCTTCCCCTTCTTCACTTTCAGCTTGCCGACTACCATCCTGGATATCAACAAGTATTTGCGCTAATCGGTCTTCTGTTGAGTCATCGCGGTTAGGTACTTGCTTCAGTGCTTCAAACACAGGTGCAAACTGTTCACGGAGAATAGAAGCACTTTTCGTACTGATAGAAACAAGGTACTGCATAAATTCTGTAATAAACACGTTTGGGTCGCCGTTAGACACAAAACACTTGGGGTCTTCAAAACCGGGTACGTTACTGCACACACTCACACTGAGGGGAACATGCGCCGATTCCCAGTTCAATTTTTCTGTGTTCTTCAGTTCTTGCGCTTTTTCCTTGTCAAAAAAGCACTCAAAATCAAACGTGGCGCGGTAAGGAAAATAGCAGGCTTCTTCTGGGACAATAATTCCTTCGTCTTCGAGCTCCTCAAAGATGGTTTTGGGTACATGGTACGCTCCGCCAGGATACTTGAGGTGGACTTTGCCGTCACAGGTCTTTTCGTGTCTATTCAATCTGAAGCCTTTTTTCCAGTATTTACCACATCTTGAACAGCAAAAGGACTTTGAGTACCGGGCGAGATCTTTAATATACGAGAAATGGTTCTCAAAGAGGTTGAGGTACAGGGTACAAGCGTAATGGCGGTGAGAGCGGCGAATGAGTGAAGCAGAGATGTCGGGAGTATTTTCTTCATTGTCTTCGTCTTCACCGCGTGTCTGAGTATTCGCGAGACTGTATACTTGAATGTTGACTTCGTATAATTTCTCCAACTCGTCTAGTTCGGACAACTTGACTCCATGGAACTTCTTTTTGGATAGGCCAGCGTCTCGATACTGCTGGTAATAATACCGCGTGTCCCTCTCTAAATTCTTCGTATGGCAACCATTGTGGAGAGCCAGGCAGCGGAAAAAGCAGAGGTTGTCTTCATAGGGTTTGCCTGTATTCGCATTATTTTCCACCGCGTCAAGACCGTAGTTGTCGGTGATATATCCCGGTAGGTATTTGCCACGGCCGATCGGATGATCGCGGATTTTCGTGATGAACCAAGTGATGTTTGTCACATGATCAACCACCCATTTACTGTTAGGTCTTTGCTGTCGAACCCACTCCAAGTAATCGATCTCCGCTATCTGCTGATATAGGCGCTCTAAGTCTTCGCGATTGGAGACCAGGAAGGGTTGTTCTAGCACCAGATTGTTGTTGGCGGATGGATGGTGGTACTGTAAAGCGCCAGTCTCTGTATTACGGAGGATAAATCCAAAGGAAAAGTTTACTTTGAAGACAGTCGTTTGGTCAGCGAAGATACGGTTGAGTTGCTCGCAGAGGGAAGCTGGACTGATCGTTGAGAGGCGAAAATTGTACCAGTCTTGAAGTCTGTTTTTGTAGCTGAAACGCGTGCGGATCTGGGGCCAGTGTTGTCTGTACGTTTCTGCTATATTCTGTTCAGTAGAAAGAACAAGGTTGGCGGGAATAAGCACGGGATCAACTTCCCAGCTGGAACCAGCAGCGGTGGTAGCAGTGGCTGACGCTTGAGGGGCGGTCCGTGGAGAAGAATTTGCAGAGGGGTCAGCGGACTTCTTGGCTTTCTTCACTGGCGGAGCATCTGCAGTTTTTGCTGCCGAACGTTTCCTGTTAGTGGCAGCGGCGGGTTGCTGATGAGCGGTACGAATATGAGCATCGTACGGGGCGAGGTTGTGAAAGGTTCCGCCACAAGTACCACAAGTAAACGTACGTTCGGCAGCTCGCTTGTCGTGGGCTTTCAGGTGACGAGTGAGGTGTTCCTTTTTCCTAAATTGTTTGTCGCAGCGGGTACATTCGTATGGTTTCTCCCCAGTGTGGATTCGTTGATGGGTTATTAGATGATTTGGGCGAGAGAAGGTCTTCCCACAGGTCTGGCAGCGATGCTCTTTACGAGGCTTTTTTGCCGGGGGTTGCCCGTCACCCACTTGAATATCCTACAATTAGTGAATATGACTAGTGTAAAGCTAAACTATTTATTAAAGTACCAGTCGAGGGAAATATTACGAACAAATAGTTCGTCTTGCAGATTCAGGCAGAACGAAAGAGAATTACTGACAAACGTAGCATTTGTTTTGATTAAAATGTTCTATCATGAATAATTTATTCACGTTTCGCTCACTCAAGAAAAATTAATTACTGATCACAACAACAATGACACACTCTTGATCAATACAACTGAATATCAGTTAGGATTTTTGATCAGTAGATGCGATTCGACTTTTAATAAACTCGAAACGGGCTAGAAACAAACAAATTAACTTACGTTTCCGAAGGATTCCAGGATAGCATTTGATCCACTTCACCATTCCACTGAAAATAAGTACAGAGAAGTACTTAAGTATATTGAACAAAGGACACAACAATAGCAGTAATCTAGCAATAATCCCTCAATGAAACTAATTCAATGTTCGTGAAATGAAAACTTACATCGTCAAATAAATCATTTTCCGTTTCCAGAGGTAGCGGTGAATTGTGATTACTCTGAAAATAGAAAGAAAATAAGTTTAATGTTAGCAAAGTTGTATTCCAAACATATAGTGCTAAAAGTCAGTAATTAGAGTGTCGAAAACAAAGGCAAGTTGAATACAATTCAGTAATAACACGGAGTAAATTACTTACATTTTCTAGCGCCACGCGTTCCATGTTCTCGATTTCTCGAAGGTCAGCATTCGTAAACTGTAAAGCAAAGAATATTTCAAGATTAATTTAAGTTAAGATGACTGATCCTGTGGGTAGTAGGCTTGAGTTAGTCTTAACTCACTGAACAAAGAGGTGCTAATTTTTCATGTAAATTTGGTTAAGTCTGTTGGCATAATTTAAACTTGTTGAACTACAAAGCTTTATAACTAAGTTTGAGATGGGAAAAATAAACTTACCGAGTTGAGAAAGTCGAACTCGTCCTCCGCGTGGTTGGTCGTTGCTTGATGCCTGTGATAAGAGAATAAAAATGTGATCAAAAGAGAGAATTGAATCTTTAACGCGGGTTATCTAAAGCAATGTTTGAATGATCGAATAGCTCAAATTTACGCTCTAAAATAGTTGAGAAGAAAGTTTAGAGATCAACTAGTTAACTTAAAAGCGTTTTGCTCGCACGTTTGTTTCCTCAGTGGGAATAGTTATGAAAAGAAAGTTTAGCAAACTTAAATAAAGTTTCACTTACCATTATCGTGGTTTCAGGAATAACCTCAGATGTTGGCAAAAGGTCTTCGATGTGATCGGATGGAATCTGTAAACAGAAAAGGGAAATTGGTTATACAAGACTGGCGGTTAAGAAAAAGAGAATAATAATAAAAGTAATAATAAAAACAGATGGAGCAAAATATTTCAACTTACTTCGATTTCTTGCACAGTCAGTTCTGTCAATCGCGCAAACGCAATTGGTACCATCACTTCAGGAATTTGGATCGATTCCGTCAACATCTCCCATTCGCGGACAGTTACACATGTGTTCAAAGCAGCTTCGATATCCTTCACGGTTAAGCAAGCCATTTTAACGATAAACGTTTGGAATAAACTGAAAGTCTCGGAGATAAATTTTCCTCAGCAAAGCGATTGCAAGAATGAAATACAGAAGGGAAAGCGCGCTTTTATGTTGAACACATAATAGATTGTTTACTATCCAATCAGGGTTAAAAGAGCCCGGGCAAGTCTAGGCAAGCCTATTGTTCCTATTGTAGTACCGGGCAAGTTTGGGCCGGCCTATTGTTCCTATTGTAGTAGAGTGACGCTCATTAGTAAACCTATCCACTTCATTATATATGGAGGAAGACACTTAATTAGTATGGAGGAACCCATTTTTTCCCTAGGTTACCACAATAGATGACGTCATTGACTAGACCCATATGCCTATTAATTAAGGGAATCCACTTTCTGCGAGGGAATCCAAAGGGAATCCACCAACGAGGCTTATCTTTGCTGAAGCCCTACTACTAAAGATGGATTAAACTTGATATTAAAATCACCAGGTCTGCTTGTTCCTCTTTTTTCTCTATTTATTGAGGAAATGTGTATAGCTCGTTCTTCCATTTTATTTAATAGATATATAATTTTTTAGTAGATCATTTAATTGTTTTTTTGATATTACTTTCATTTGGTTGAGAAGATGTGCAATTTGAGAAAACTCAGGTATTACACCATTATTCCCAGCAAGAATTGAGCCACCGAGTAATTCAAGTCTGTCTAGGAGTTGATGTGGGTTGTTAAAGTAAATCATTCCTTCTCCCATTTGATACTCAAGCGAACCTAAATAAAGTTTAAGAATGTTTTTATATTTAAGTAGCATATCTTTTTGCATTTTAATCCTTTCTATTTCTTCTATTTCTTCTTCTGTTTTATGTTTTTTTCTATTCAAACCAGCTATTTCTCCTGTAAAAACTTTTACATCATTTTTTACTTCATCATGTAAGTCTTTCAGGGTTAGTATCAAAAAAATCATTTGGCCTTGGATAATCCATAATTCTTAATATTTCTAAATCAACATCGTCAAAATTTTTTTCAATGTTATAACGTGTAGGTGATTTTGGTTTAGATGTTGTTGGTTCTTCATAATCACCTTCCAAAGCTGGTAATTCTCTCATGTCAGCCAATCTTAAATAAGTTTCATTAATTTTTTCCAATCCTGTTGTTAATGCAAGTTAATTTTTTTAAGTTGAGCTATAGTTGCGTTTTGCTGCTCATCAATACTTTTTTTAATACTATCTTGAGACTTAATAAGTGGCTTAAATGTTTCTTTAAAACCCTCTCTCATATTTTGTTTTTGCCATTTTGTTATTTTTATTACATCTCTAACCTCTCGAGTCAAAGCATCAGCTTCAATTTTATTTCTTGCAAGTTTTTTGTATTCTTCAACATCCATTTTATTTAATATATAAATTAAATAAAAAAAATGGAAATACCAAACTATGATAGTAATAACAATACAGATAAAAAATATAAACAGTTATTTCCTTACATGCCATCAGACACATTTCGGATGTTAATCTGTGGAAACAGTGGAAGTGGTAAAACTAATCTGTTGTACCACATGTTAATTAAACCACTACTGTATTATGATGAGATTTATCTTTACGCGCGTAATCTAGAACAGGATAAATATCAAAAGCTAATTCAAAAAATGAGAGAGTTAAGTCATCAACTGGGATATGAAATACTTCATGTAAGTAATGATGAAATAATCCCCGTGACAGAAATGGATTATGAAGACAACCAAAAACTTGTGATATTTGATGACTACGTTTGTGATAAAAACCAGAGACAACTGATTGATTATTTCATTCAAGGACGACATAAAAACTGTTCGGTGGTGTACCTCAGTCAATTGTTTTATAAAACGCCAAAGGATATTCGGCTGAATTGTTCTCATTACTGTTTATACGAGTTTCCATCATCGAGGGAAGCCAACAGAATATCATCTGAGTTGGGAGTTAGTAAAGAAGATTATAAAGCAGCAACTAAAAAACCGTATTCATTTCTATACGTTGATAAACCAAAAAAACGTATTGCAAAAAACTTTACTGGTAATCTAACCATTAATTAAAATGGGTATATTTAACGAACAATCTTTAGATCATCCCTTTGCTAGGGGAATTCAAGGTGCTCCAGGAGTTGGATTTAATCTCACTTCAAGTGGGGATTATGATATGATAAATAAAAAACTAAGAAATGTTGGTGCACCTAATACTGATGCTGCTACAAAGAAATATGTTGATGATAATTGCAGTGGATCAGTTGATACTAGTTCATTTTTAAAGTTGGATGGTACAAGAAAAATGACTGGAAATCTAGATATGGACAACAATCGAATATATAATCTGCCAGCTCCAGCGAGTCCTAAACAACCAACACCATTATCTTTCACAGATTTGAAGTATCTCCACGTTGGTGGAACAAATAAAATGACTAATAATCTAAACATGGATAATAAAAAAATAATTAACTTAAGAATACCAACAAATGACACAGACGGTGCAACCAAAAAGTATGTAGATGACTCAATACCTAATACTAGTTCTTTTATAAAAAAAGATGGAAGTGTTTCAATGACTAGTAACCTAAATCTTGGAAACAAAAAAATAGTTGGTCTTGCAACTCCAGTGTCAAACAGAGATGCTGCAACCAAAAAGTATGTGGATGATAACACAGCTGCCCCAGATTTGAGTGATTACTTGGAAAAAGATGGTACCGTCACTATGACTGGAAATCTTAATCTTGGTAATAATAAAATAGTTGGTCTTGCAACTCCAGTGTCAAACACAGATGCTGCAACCAAAAAGTATGTTGATGATAATGCTGGAAGTCCAAATTTAAGTAATTATTTGAAAAAAGATGGTAGCGTTTCTATGACTGGAAACTTTAATGTTGGTAATAATAAAATAGTTGGTCTCGCAACTCCAACATCAAATACAGATGCTGCAACAAAGAAATATGTGGATGATAACACAGCTGCCCCGGATTTAAGTAATTACTTGAAAAAAGATGGTAGTGTTGCTATGACTGGAGAACTTAATGCTGGTAATAATAAAATAATAAATATTGGTAATCCAACCCAAAACAATGAAGCAGTAAACAAAGATTATGTCGACAAACTAGTTCACAAAACTGCAGTTCAACCAAGTCATTATAAAAATGAGTTTAGTTATCTCATGTCAAGTGGGTCCCAATGGACTGATGAAATAGATGGAGGAGTTAGTTTTATTATAAATAAAATAGATGAATTACCACCAAACAAAGGCAACTTTCACGATTATAATCACAAAGTTATTTACATGTATATACTTAAAAATAACAGTAAATATGAGTATAAGATGGGAATTAATTTTTACAGACTACCTGCAAATACTGATTACACGTTGTGTTTGGAAATACTCAACACAGATTATACTCTTTGGAATAAGTCTCAAATAAGTGTTGACAAAGGAACTTCAAAAAGATTATCAATTGGAAATGTAGGTATAAGAAAACTATCACATATGTATACTGATGCAACAGGGAAAACAAAAACTATGTACTACCATAGAATAATATTTAATTTTCGGAAGTTGTCATTTGGGAATAAGTTCTTTTTTCACATTCTTGTTGATATTTCAAACAGAGGATATAACATTGCGAAATATCCGCAAATTTTTCAGGGAGTTTACATGATTGCTTATGGTATTGTAGGTACATTTAGTAATATCGACCCAGATAAAGTTTACAACTATCACACCGCATTTGATATTAAACCAACAGAAGTGGTGTATAATGTTGATATTAACGCAAATCAAAAAGAAATTAAAAATATTAAACTTGATCGAAACAGTGATAATAGTGCTGCAACAGTTGCAATGGTAAAAGAACTATCTCCTTTTACTAAAAACAGTCTTTACAGATTATACTTTAGTGAATTTTATGACTTTACTGATGCGGATTTGTATGGATTAAGTAGAGGTGTATCTGGTGTTATTTTCAGTTCTTTAAGACCTAATATTACACTTCCCAATAGAGACCTAAATGATATAACAAATTATGGCTTAAATGTGAAAGGTTATCCTGTTCATTTTGATCTTCCTAATTATATTACAAAATATAGTTTATGCATTTCTTTTCATCATTGGAGAAATAGAAGTTTTAGCCTAACTTAAAAAAATACAGATAATGATAATATACTATTAAAATTAAATTATGATAAAACAAACAATAAAGTAACTTTAACTGTCAATAAAACAACTCAAAATTTTACCATGCTAAGTAGTTTTAATGGAAAAAGGATTGTTGTATGGCTGTTAGAAAATTTTAGTGCAAATGTTACAAAAGTTAAAATAAGTAACTACAGCTCGACATTAACTATACCAACCGTTCAATACTCCCATTTTCAACAGTTTGATTTTACAACTGAAGATGGAGTGTTAAATAAATTAATGTACTCTCCAAACTTTTACAACACTGACTCTGAGCAATATCACAAAGTAATGCTTCAAGAAAAGTTAAGTGGATCTTATATAATGTAGAATTATATAGATAAAAGAATAAATGAAGGATATCTTTGAATTTAATCACATAGATAAATCTCTGTCAGAACCAGACGTCACAACTCTCAAAGACTTTTACAAACATTACCACAAGAAATATTGGTGTTACAAAAGGTGTTATAAGAGTTACAAATTTCTTGATGACGTGTTTACAATTTCTGGAATATGTCTAGTAGCAATAGGAACTATTACTGGTGGAGTAACACTAAACCCTGTTGTTCTAGGAGTTGTAAATGGTACTGGGGTTATAGTAGCGGGAATTGGAAAGAAAAAAAATTATAAAAGAAAAATTGAAATGTCAAGAATTGCATTTACTACTTATGAAAAAGTACTAGTTGAACTTCGCGCAGCTCTTCGAGGTGATGAGTGGAATAAAGAAGATTTTGTTGATCGGATGAAGCTAATAGATGAAATGATAATTGATCAGTCTCCTATAGCGGATAGATTTGCTAGTAGGTATAATGAAAAATGGTTTAAAGAATAAAATACTAATAAATATAAATATTTGAATGTATATTTTTTTCTATCTTTTTTTTAGATTTAGCTGTTTTCAATATTTAGATAAATATTGAAAACTAATCTATAAACTTAAATGTATATTTTTTTTGATCTTTTTTTGAAGTTGCTGTTTTACATTTTTTTCTACAAATTTTTGAAATATAATCAGCATTAATATCTAATACGTTAGCCGCTTTTTTGATAGATATAAATCTTCTTTTCTCTCCATTTTCAATACAGGTAGAAATTATCGGCTTATTATTACCTTTTTCAACATTTTGATTATGAGTAAGTAGTTGCAAATTCTTTATCCTATTATCAAACTTAATTTCGTTGATATGGTCATCTTCTAAACATCGTGGTATTGGCCCTCGAAAAACCTCATATTCAAATCTATGTTGAGAGTAATTTATTCGTTTTTCTAGTTTTTCATTATATATTTTAAATCTTAAATATCGTCCATCATTTTTTTCCATCTTTAAAATTCTTTCAGATTTTAAACTTAAGATATCTCCATTTTTTCTTGCAGCGTAATTAGTAAAAACTGGATGTTTGTAGTATTTTTTTCCTTTAAATATTACTCTTTGCTTTGATTTGGATTTAAACATTTTGAAATGTCCGTATTTACGAATAGATGTAAGTACTTTGGAAAACACCCACTGACGAAACATTTTTGGAGCCGGTAATTTAGATCTAAAAACAAGTTCGTAGAAACCTGCTTCATTAATGTAAAAGGTGAAAGTACAACCGCGTGTTTCACGCGGGTGAACTTTTTTTATTTTATTACTTTCACTTACATGTCTCTTAATAACATCAACTGTATTTTTGTAACCAAGTATTTGAGCAACTTGTTTTGCTTGAAACCAGACATTACATTTTTCATCGATGTAAGAATTAAACTTGATACCAAGATGCCTATTAATAAAAACTTTTTCTAAAGTATTTTCCATTTTAGTTTATACTTTTATTTCTTTAAACCATAATTATTTTTCTATTTAAATTAAATAGAAAAATGTTGTAAAGCACCCACCGTTTCGACGCGTACCACTCATATACATTTATTTTTCTCTAATTTTTGTATTTCTAATTTATGAAACTCTTTTTCTAATTCTTTAAGATAGTCTTCTTTTGTAATACCATCTGGTGGACTTGCATTTTCAAAGAAATACTAAAAAAGATATGATGTATCAATATGTTCAATAAACAATTGTTTTGCTTCATATTCAGGTGTACCAACAACTCGCTTACTCATTTTAATTAATTTATTTTTAATCTTTAAACCATTTTCTATCTAAACATTAAATAGAAAATGCTAAACACAATTGTGCATTATGTTAATTATTACTATCCTTTACAAAAACATCTTCCTTATCCTGAAAATCTTATAAAAACATCACTCATTTACAGGTATTTATACGAAGTTTATTTTAAAGAAAATATAGATATGGAAAAAATAATTTATAGAATAGAAGATAGATCTATTAAATCTAATAATCCTGTTTTAAATAATCATCTAATGTTTTACGCAGCTTTTAAATCTTTTCATAAACATTACAAAATTGGAAGAGGATGTGTATACACATTTGACTTTCCAATAAATAGTGAAGTATTAGGTTACCTAACTGGAATAATTTACTGGTGTTTTCATAAAGGAGTAGTATAAAAATGGTATCTGTTATTATTAGACAAAAAGATGTTAAAAGACTTGATAGAGAATTACTAAATGAAATGTTTGAATTTTTACATAATGAGTATATACTCACTGAATTTGAAGAAATGAAAGAAGTACAAAAAGAATTCTTAGAAAATCTTGCTTTAAACCATATTAATACTTTACAAAGACAGCATAAAATAACAAAAGAAGAAAGAGAAAAAATGGTTAACGAAAGTATTAAATATACTATTTTTTCAAAACTTGTAAACGATGCTATGGAAGATGAAGGTATTGATACAGAAGGAATATATCAAACTCTTAATATATTAAAATCAGATATGGAAATAGATGAAGATCTATATTATAAAACAAAAGAATTTTTAGAGTATTTTGAAAGTGGATATAGTTATTTATAAGATTAAACTTATCTTTATACAAGTATTTAATTTTATATTTTTAAAAAATATAAAATTATGGTGTGATTATATTAATTTTTATTCTTATAATATTCTCTTACTAATTTATAAAACTCTTTTTCTAATTCTTTAAGATATTCTTTTATTTCTACTCCATCTGGTGGACTTGCATCTTCAAAGAAATATTCAAAAAAATGTGATGTATCAATATAATCCTTAAACAACTCTTTTGCTTCTTGTTCAGGTGAACCAACAACTCGCTTACTCATTTTTTATAAAATAATTTACAAATCTTTAACTTTTTTTATAGAGGAGTATTCTACTCTAACATTTAATTCTTCTTCAATAGATTTTTTTAAATATATAAAATATCTACTAGAAGATATTTTTCTTTCAATATAATCAAGAATATCTAAAAACATATATACTAATTTTTTTCTTCTTCATCTAATGAACAAAAATCACAAGAAATAAAATTATAACAAAACTTATCATCTTTTAGTTTATTTATAACATTTCCTAAAATTTTATAAAATTTATAAATGCCATAACCAACTTTACTCCTACTTTTAAGATAATTTAAGTCACTTATTATAATTTCAATAGGTAAATCACCGTAGTAAGATTTATGAGGAATTATAATACTTGGTTTTTTTATAAATTTAAAACCATTACATCTAGTTTCTGAATCCATTTTATTTAAACAAATCATTTTTTTAAATTAATATAACTATCCCACCACTTTTCATAATTATCCAAAGTTTGAGGACTAATCTTTAGATAAACTAGTTTATATTTTTCACACCCCATCTCCTCCAAAATTTTTTTCATTAAATAAAAAATACTTATCATTCTCTTTCTACAGTATTTTTTGTTAAGTATTTCCATTACGTTGTTATCAATATTCATTAGTTTATTATACAATTCACACTTTTCATTATCAGTTAGTTTTATTCTTTTGGAAACTTGATCAACCTTTTTCTCATAGTGATACTTTCTCTGATAAATACTCTTCTTTCTAAAGTGAAATCTATCGTACTCTTTCAAGTCAAAATAACCAAGAACATGACCATTACTTGTTCCACAGGAATCACAAATATTATAACCTGAATCAACAACAAAACTATCGCTTTGACAATTACTACATTTAACTTTTTTAGTTTTTTTCTCTTCTGGTTTGGTTTTATAACTTCTTAATATTTCTAGATATCTTTCGATTTCTTCTTCTTTATAATTCATTTATTAATAATATTTTATTATTAATATCTTATTTATCTTAAAGCCATCGTATTCACTTTATTGAACATCACAGTGCGCTTATCATCTTCATTACTCAAAGCTATTTTATTTACTTCTTTTGAATACATATCATGATTTTCACTTCTTATAATTTTCATAGTTCTCATTTCCTTTTCACCGGTAAATAAACATTGAACATAATCATTAAAATCCGTTGTTTTTTTTACAACACTCTTCTTTATTCCTTTACACTTTCTTACCTCTTTATTTTGTTCTATTTTGAAACTGTAAAGTTTGGGCCGCAATCCAACAAAATGTGTAATTTGTTTTCCTGCTACTTCATCTTTGAACATTCCTATTACTTTTTTGTTAACTCCTGTTGGTATACCAGATGGATGATTGGAAGGATAATCAGAGGTGTCAAACTTGGATAGTATGTCAGAGGATATATCTTTATAAAAATCTTCCGTATTAATATGGTAAATCAACGAGTCTGTATCTGTAAACAATAACTCAGCCTTGTCTTTATATTTCTTTTGAATATATTTGTAATGAAAATCAAACATTAATGTTTTTGACAAATCTAAAATTGCTTGTCCAACATATACTGGTTTGTTAAAATACACTTCTGTTTTTTTCATATGAATCGCAATAAGATTTTTATCAAATATTGTTGCTCTGTCAAAGTTCGGACGACTTGATAATTTTGAAGCTTTTTTACGATCATTAATAATAAATATATTCTGTCTTTTCCTTATGTTTTCTATTGTTTTTCCAAATACTGAATTATTCATTAGTTTGAAAAAATCTTTCTCAAAACTGTTGACCGCTGTTTTACGAAGTTCTGTATTTTTTCTTATATATGGTTCCATCCAAGAAGATTGGTAAAATGATATTCCTCTATGAACAGCAGTTATTATCATTCCCATCTCAAGGTATTGTCTCAAATTTCGATAATGTACAACATAGTTCTTTCTTGGTTTAAAATGACAAATAAGTTTTTCAACACCATTAACAATAATCTTTTCAGGTGCAAGTGGATAGTCGTTATGTTTTTCCCATAGTTTTTTAGGATACTCCAAATCAACTTCAAATATATATCCTTTTCTTCCAAGATTTGACATACTATGATTTGCTTTATCTAGAATATCCATTACTTTTTCTTTTGTTGAATTTTTCATCGAACTAAATCCATGTGTTGGTAGACGTTGAGACATTGCCCAACCGTAAAGATTATTTGCATCAAGATATTGAATATAACTAGTTTCCTTATCAGAATTATAATCTTTCATACATTTATTATTCGCTTCCGCATATCTTTTTGATATGTGAGATATTCCACCACGAATTCCTCTCTCAATCATCATCAACATATCATAATTAGTTAGTAATTCTAAATTTTGACCTGTTTCTTTCAGACATGCATCCCAAGCTAATCCAGGAGATGTGTAATAATGTGCTGGATCTAAGTTGTAATGTTTGAGACAAGTTTTTCTAAAGTTTTCAAATACATCTGCCAATAGTAGAACATCAGACTTAAGATATAAATCATGATAATTTCTAATTGTTTTACATTTAAAAGTATTCCATACATTGATAGCGTGTTGGTAATCATCATCTGATATATCTTCATCATTTAGTTTTGAATAGAATTCCTCTTTTGGTGGAAGTTTTGTTTCGGATAGTTTTTCAAATGATGAAACATAGTCATAAGGATAAACTCCTTTACGAGTTAGTAGATTTAAATTTTTCTTAAATATTTTTTTTGTACTAAGGAAATCTTCTGGTTGAAGATTTGAAACAAGATTAGCAAGTGATGTTTGAAGAAACTTAAATGAATCGATGAATCGTATTTCAAAATATATTTGTTTAATATCTCCAGTTATTCTACACTTGTACTCATCAACTTTAATCTTTTTGGAAAAGGAAATATATTTTTCTTCAGTAGATGGAATACAATTTAACTCACCAGATAAACTAGCAAGTTGTTTAATAAATAAATGTGCATCATAACCTTGAAGATTATGAAATACAACTGGAAGAATCATTGGTTTTCTACACCTAAGATTACATTCGTTATGTGCAGCTCCACGGTATTTTCCAGTAAAATGACAATGATCTCTAACTTTGTCATCTTTTAATTCTTTCTTGCAAATATGACAAATTTCAGCTTCATTAAATGATTTTTGTTCTTTTGATGACAATCGAAGAGGTAATGGTTTACGATAAAAATCATTATATATGCTTTTAGTTACTTTTGTAAGTTTTTCAACAAATATCTTAGCTACATCATCACTATCTTTATTTTTAGTATAAACAAGGTAAAAAGTTTTTATCTACTATTCCTTTTATATGGAAACAAAATCCTGATGGTTCATGCTTTTGATAATTGTAATTATAAGATTCTTTTGGATTTGGACTACATGTATTCATTGGTTTGGTAAAACATTCAAAATCTGCATAAACCACAAAAGGATGGGAAGTTGTTTTTCATAATTTTTAAATTTTAAAACATTTTTTCCTGGTTGAGGCATTTTTACAACTACTGTTTCATTATTTGAGCAGTATTTGATATGCTTTTCTAATAATTCTGGCTTAGTAAAATGTGAAAAGCATCTCTTACAAATAAATATTGGACCATTCTTACTTTTAGTCATTTGAGACTTAATTAAGCGATTAAAGTTTTTGATTAATGTGTAATGTGAAACACCATCTTCTTCGTACAAAAATAAATCAATAGTATTTAAACAGTCTTTCTCTGCCATTCTTAAAGGATAAAAATCTTTACAATCAACTGAAAAAACATCGATACCTGGAAGTTCAGGATTAAGTTTTTCAAATTTGGAAATATCACTTAATTTTACTGGGAAAGTAATTCCTTTGGTGTTAAGTGAAAACTCATACTTTTTCAAATCTTTTAATCTTGAATCATTATCTTCTTTTGGCTGAAGATATCTAAGTATACACCAAAGAAAACATTTATCATCTTTGTTTTGAATATTAACAATTGCTTTTTTGTTTGATATCCAATCTGGAAGAGGAATGTAAGACGACCCCTTCGCTGGATTAAACTCAACAGTATGAATTTCAAGTTGAACTACTTCACTAAAATACCATCCACTTCCATTTTCTTGATAAGCTTCTAAATCACTAAGAATTCTTTTAAAACACCGATCAACTAAATTACTTACATCTGTTGATTCTAAATTTTTTTGAATTCCTGATGTAAAGTAAGCCTTACTTTGATTCAATCCTATAACTCCTTGATCTCTACTAAGTAATTGTTGTTCCATCATACAAACCAAAAGCATATTAAATTTAATGTTTCGATGATATTTAAAAAATTCTTCTACAGTATTATAAACTCTATTTAGAAAATCAACAGGAGTTGAACCAGCTTCTCCTTTAATAACATATTTGTTTGCAAAGTTTTCAAGAGATGATTTTTCTTTTATTAAACCTTGGTCGTATTCTCTAATAGCTCTCTCAAGAGCTTTACGTAAGTAAGAAGGAGTATCTTTTGGTATCTTTCTATTTTTTATACATTCCTCAAAATACTCATCAAATGATTTTATCTTTTTCTTTACTGATGGCCCCTTCGTTTTAATGATAGCTTTCTTTTTATATTCTTTTTTAATATCAATTCCTTTTCTCACTTTTTCTCTAGCTTTTTGTAATTTTTGATATTGTTTAATAAGTTTTTTTCTTTCTCCTAATTCTTTGTAATCCTTCTTAAGTTCTTCTCTTTCTTCTTGTATTAAATGTCTTATTTCACCCAAAGACAACTTTTGAAATTGTTTATCTGTTATAAAGGGTTGAGAACCCTGAAAACCATTTACTTGGTTAGACATGATAGTCTTTTAATCTTATAATTAGATTAGAAGACTTTAAGTTATTATTTTAATCACTATCACTCTCACTCTGAGATGAAATGTAATGACCAAATTCATCACTATCATAACCATCGATATTTAAAAATCTATTGTAAATTTCAAAGTAAGTAGGATAATCAGGTTTTAATTTACTCTTAAACTTTTCAAAACTTTCGTAAAATTCATCGTATTTTATTTTATCATTTTCATTGTTATTTACAAGATGATTATATTCTTCATCAACAACGTAAAAATAATCGCTGTAATCTTCTAAATCTAATTTTAATTTATCTATAAATTCAACATCATTTTCTTTTAAACGTAAATGGCTAATATCTTTTAATCTTCCATTTTCTTGAGCTTTTACAAATCTGTCAAAATACCTCTTTAATCTATCAGCTTTTAAACTACTAAATTTTTTTCCTTCTGAATCTATTAAATATATAAAATTTTCTAATTCCTTATTGATACCTCTTATAAAAAGATACTCTTTTTTAAAATCTCTTGCATATTCTGGTGTTTTATTTGAGCCAGAAATGCAATTTTTGGATTTGAAAAGTGAGCTAGGACAACCATTTCTATAACTACTTTTATCGTACATTCGTCGATGTCTATCCAACAAAAACGGGTGGAGTGAGAAAATTGCAAGAAAAAATGTTCTTGAAATACTACATGGACGTGAGTTGGTTTATATGAGAACAGATCAGAGACCTTTAGATTCTAAGACGAGTACGACTACGAGTACGAGATTTGTCTTAAAGTTTTTTCGCGTATTCTCAAAATATAGACTCTCCAGAAAGCTTCATTTTACCATATTTTACTGGAAAAGTTATAGCACTGTCACCTTTAGTGAAGAAGGTTACACTCTCTCCCGATCGCAAAGTGATAAATCTTCTAACATCTGATAACTTCTTTTCCCCACTTCGACATTCGCGCTAAAACTCATAGTCGGCGCTAAAACTCATAGTCGGAGTGACGACGGCTACCACGTTTTCCCGCATTTAAATGACGCTGGATTCTGACGCGTGCTTACTACTTAGTATTGAGAAAATCTCGTACTCGTTGTCGTACTCGTCTTAGAATCTAAAGGTCTCTATTGGGAGGATGGGAGGATCATTACGCAATTGATTAGTGGATAGAAATTAGTGGTACAAATTTCTATTAATTTATTAGAATTGGATTGTAGGTAGAGCAAAAGTTATGTATCATGCAGACATTTCCAAACGATATTTCTCGGTTTGCCACTTGAAAATCGTGTTTTACTTTTTGTATGAATTAAAGCAAAGGTCAAGGAGTGGTGACGTCACTGGACGGCATTAACGGCCTGTCGATTCAGACGTTACTGAGGGAGTAATAACGACTCGAAGTAATCGGATGAAATTCAGGCTAGCCTCGGATGCGAAAATTCATAGAGAATACCGCATGGAAAGTGCTTTGTACGGTATTTACGCACTCGTTGTTTTTGTATCAGAAATCTTACTCGTTCGCTGTGCTCACTCGTTCGATTTCTAAAACGTCAACAACTCGTGCGTAAATAACGTACAAAGCACTTTCCGTGTGGTAATTGTTTATTATATACATACTGAGACATTCATCATTTTGGCGGCCTTTTTATTTTAAATCGTTCAAAAATGCTAAAATTTGCCGCTACACACTTAACGCAAAATGACAACGAAAACGAAGTATCAGCTTTTTTGGTAAAAACGTTTGTTAAAAACATAAATGACGGTAAGGATATGAGGTGATCCAAGAACTGTAAGTAATCTTAACTGTTTGTTCTCAATGCACAATTGAAAATGAATGAATTTAAGTAAAATGGCCGGTTTCAATATAAGCTTAAGCTTAAACGTAAGGCAAACTACCTCCGACAAAAAGCACAACAAAAGCTTACGTTTCGTTCTGTTTTTCCCTTTCCGCCGTTGTTTCGCCGGCTCTCTGCCGTTTTCTTTATCGACAGTGAAACAAACGACACTATTCCACTCCATTTCCGAAATGTTTTTCACTTTTTTGGCGAGAAAAACCCTTTGAGTAAAACTTTACTCGTTGAATGTGTGCGAAGCGGCGCTGCAAGCTGCAATAAAAGGCGGGAATTTTGGCGCGAAAATCACACACCTCTGTGACTTCTGATTGGACGTATCATTTTTCGCACACGTGAAAAAACATCGTTCGCGATTCTGATTGGACGTATCATTTTTTTTCACGTGTGAAAACCATCGTTCGCTCCTCTGATTGGCTACAACCAATTTGCGTACGAAAATTTACGACATAGCTTTTTGGTGAGTATTTCTCAGTATGTATATACTAAAGCCAGCTATGCAGTGAAGACAGTTGCTTTTAACCGTCCGTCCGCACCACAGGAAAACCAATGCTTACTTTCACACTTTCTAACCACTTTGGGAGCCCAGTAGAAAACTGATTGCTCATCAATGTTGTGATCAATCATGGGTAATATCCATGGATCAATTGACAGCTGTCAAAACAAGGTATCCGCTGACCAATATCACCTGACCGTATCGCGGGCTCAGGTGTCGACCCATCGAGGTCGAGTGCTTTTTTAAAGTTATCCGCTGACAAGTCATATGAAATATGTTGTGTTTATGTCACTATAGCCCCGCACTATTCAACAAATAGATTCCATGTTGCCGTACGTCTGTTCAGTAATAGATCACAAATGACGTCAAAATGTCGTAAAAACAAGGAAGTGGCACACGAGACGCAGGCGAGTGTGTCACTGTTGTTTTTACCACATTTTGACGTCCTCTGTGATCTATTACTGAACAGACCCGCGGCAACATGGAATCTATTTGTTTTATACAATGATCAGAAAGAAAAAGACCGATACACATTCCTGCCTCGAACCGCTAGACCTTTTGAGGATTTGTGCTAGTTTAGGCATTTTTCAAGTCCCAAACCCAACTTTTCATCTTAGCTTCTTTATCTTTCTTGTCTACAGTTTCTTCGAAAAGTTTTTCACCGTCTTTTCTCGCTCAAAGAAGAATAATAGCGAAAACATTTTGCAAAACAGCAAGTCTCTCGTAGCGAAGGCACACGATGGCAACTGTTGTGAAGATTTTTTGTAGTTTAGGCATTGTCAAGTAGTCAATAGCTTTTTTGGTCTCCGTTTCTCCATTTTTCTTCTTTGTAAATAGCTCCTGCTAAACTTTTTCCGAAGCTTTCACTTGCCTCAATCCGAAATAATCTCACAAACATTTCCAAAACCGCGTGCCATGTTGAGCAAAATAAAGAAAACAAGTTTCCCGTGACGTCATCCATGTATCTGGACTCTAATAGATCATGGGCAACGACCAATCACAGCGCGCGTAGCATTCACATCATTGTATAATAAGATTTTGATTTCAAACTGACCTTGGACGCGCAAATTCAGCCAGTTATTTAGAAATACTGGCGGGGAAGACCTTTTCTTGCCAAGGTCACACGGTGGACACGCTCTACGTCCAATTTTTATGCTCTGATTGGTCAAAATTTGACAGGTCAGTTCATGCGGAAAATTTATGCATCATCTTGAATCTTATTTACTTTGACGGCTGAAGCTGACAGAGTTTTGTGGCAACTTGTGAGGTTTTTACTGTCTTTTTCTACTGGATGTACAAAAATGAAATACAGCTGCTATCAAGAGTATTCTGTAATTCGTGGTTAGTTTGTTTATTGGTTTTATGGTTGAGAAATGCGTCGCTTGTCAAAGTCGGAAATCTGATTTCGGATGGCATCGTTTTCGTTTTTCACCTTGCTTAAAGAGTCTGAAGCGATACTGACCCTACTTGGTACCTTTCAGGAGCTGCATCTCGAATGGTAAGCCTGAGTAATGATAGTATTTGATGTTTGTTTTTTTATATCTAATTTAATGAAGTCGAGCGTAGTTTATGCGGCTATTTAGTTTATGCACGTTTGTAACAGTTAAGACAATGATCTGACCGAGTATCAGGTTTGATATAAGCTTCTCAAACTCATTAATAATTCATTAAGAAAATACAAAGGAAATTAATGTTTAATGAGTGTTTGGAAATCGGATGAAACACTGCTTAGTATTTGCATCCTTAATTTCTCCTTCAAAAATGATTTTGTTTGAGAAGAAATATCAAACATTCGACACAGTGTTTCATCACCAGATGAAACACCTCGAAGTTCGTCAAAAATACTCCGCTGCGCGTCGTATTTTCAACTCTCTTCTCGGTGTTTCATCTGGTGATGAAACACTGCATCTCATGTTTGATATATTACTTACAGAACTTTAACAAGCCTTTAGACATTTTCTCACCGTAAATAGAAAGAAAACGTTTCAAAGAATAATTAGTTATAATCCTAGCTGTAAAAGAAAGCTTTGAGCGATTTTTTTTGCCTCGAGTTCATCTTTGAAAAAGGCAAACACCGGGAAGCCGGCTTTTAAGCTTAAGCTTGAAGACTCAGGATTTTTAGAGACACTTTAATACATGTCTTCGTGAATGAAAATTGTTGCCTCTTTATATGTTTTACCGAATTATATTTCTTTTGTTGATTGTTAGTAGTCTCTATTGTAATTTTAAACGCTGTGCCGTTTGTTTTCAGTCGTTCAGTGTCAACATCGCTTGCACGAGTACTCAAACTGCCGCGCGTATCAAACGCTTTTGAAGATTACACATCCATAAAATAAACAAAAATATATACATAATAAATTCTTTATTGTGCTGGAGCGACACTCTATTAATGTTCATTCAAACGGTTGACCACAGCTCATGAACTGCAAAAGTGAGAACCGGCTGGCCGTATAGGTGATTTTGGAAATTATTTTAACGGTTTAGCTAAAAGCCCAGTCGTGCTTCGATCGTCCGTATTGAACGAGTGTAATTTTGTATTACAAAATTGTGAAATACTGCATTCTGTCCAAGGTCTGTATGATAAAAACAGAACCTGTTTTACCTCAGATGTGATGT